CGATGCAACGCAATGCGTAAAAAGACAGTATAAGTCATTATAATCCGTAATTATGTCCCCACTGGATGCAACAAATGCCTCGTTTATAATGGGTTTTAATGTTTTTGTCTCATCGGCCTGGCCGGACAGGGCATCACAATATGGTAAGGGGCGTAACATTTCCGTCACACGCTTGAGGTATTCAGCCAATCACAACGCACTGGATAGCTGGCCAATCAGAGCACACCTTGCTTTTCAGACCGATGAGCTTTGTAAAAATCGACCAGAAAGGCGGGGCATAGAGGAGAAACAATAATGTACAGTATGTGAAAAATAATGTGTTTTTTGAACCTTAAACCGCATAAACACATTTAATTACACCAAATACACAAAATAATGTTCTTTTTAGCAACATCATATGACCCCTTTAAGACTAGTCTAAGCGGTTTATGCAATCGGCCCCAGATTTGAGTGTTGGGTGAGTTGCAAGTAATGATATGGATTTGTGTCTTGATTTTACCTTCTAACCAGTTGTGCTCTTGACTATTAAAATTAATTCATACATTCATTAATAAAAAATAAATAAATCTAAATGTAAAAACATAAACATTGAAATGAATGAAACCCAATGCCAGTCCATGTTTAATTTTCAATTCCTAAGTTTATAAACCACATTAAAAATGTTTAACACAATATGGGAAAATAGTAATTACATGTACATTATATAAAAGAAAATCTCTCTTATATGATTGGCTCCAACAGGATTCATCATTACAATGAATAAATAACACAGGTAAAAATATATTTTCTGACTATTCGTTAGATACTGGAACTAATCATTATTTTCCTGCAAGTGTGGAATTTTCCAGTATTTTATATACAATGAATCAATGCCGTTCATGCCATGCATGTTAACAGCCTCTCATACAGTTACATATTTGAATATTTCTTTTTTATCAGACAAGCAAAGCATTTTTTTTTACAAAGGGATGCAAAAGAGATAGAATCAGCTGTTGACAACAGGTAAAAAAACATTTACTGAACATTCCAAGCAAAGCATCAATCAAAATAAATTATACAAACTTAAAACGCCAGCAGGACTTAAAATTTGACATTCAATTTTGAAGTAAAAAATCTACAACTATGTGGTCCACTCTTTGAAAAACATGCGGTTAACATTTTTAAATAAAACAGAAAAAATCTCCTAACATTTTTCACCAAAATCACTGGGGCAATGATTTACAGAACAACCTTTTGGTATTTGAAGCATCTTAATCTGCTGTCCCATCAACCATTGTTTTATATTTAATTTTGACCCTTTTGATAAATGGCAAGAACTAAACCAGGCCAGGTCAAGAGAAAAAAAAAAAAACTCAAGACTAAAGGCACTTTGCATTTATCTACAAGAATAGACAGCTGTCTAAATATTCTAAATCATGAGTGAAAATGAGTCAAGTGGGTTTGATTAATTTTTTGTTCCTTCGAAAATTCGAAAACCACCTCTAAAATATGCATCAATGATGTAGTAGCTCCCTGAATTTAGTGGAATAAATTTCAGAAATCCAAAAAGAAAAACCTGTTCAAACTGGAAATGTTAATGGTCGTTGCTCTTTTTAGCATGAACAATGTAGCCTTTTGCTTTTATGATGCCTCTGCTCTTGACGATGATAGAGTACCGTAAGACCCACTCCAGCCTCCAATCGGCCACCTGCAGGTCCTTACTGCTCCCCTGCACTGCTTCCTGGAAGCCTGCTGCACTGATTAGCTCTAGACACAAGAAGAAAGTTTGGCATCATTAGATTTCCTGTGCTGTTGCTCATGCTGTTTTATAATTAAACTGCAGAGCCAGTTCATGCACAGTCATTGAGCGCAATGACTCAGCATAAAATACACACCTTTGGGGTCATTGTGCGTGAGCAATTGTATGTCGAACTCTTTAGCAAATGCAGTGAGGTCTGGAGGCATCACACAGCACGAGGCCAGATTCACCTGATTACTACTCGGCTTTACCTGCATAGCATGAAAGAGTACAAAATACATTGTAAATGATAAATTATTCAGTTATGTGCAGAAAACATACACACTCATAGCAGACCTGAGCCCAGTTATAGAGCTGCTCTAAGAGAGTTTTGTCCAAGTCCGACGTGCCGATGGCAGCGATCTTCTGGCTTTGCACAAGACTTTCCAGCTCCTTCCACAGCGGCTGCAGGTGGGTCAGTGTCTGTGCCTCACCCTCCGGGAGAGAAGGTGAAGCAATGATCACAGAATCCAACTGAGATACGCCTAATGAAAGACAAGCTGAACAACACGGAGAAGAGGAGAGAGGGTTATTGTCAAAACAACTGAATTTAATATTCGTTTGGGCTCAGTAAAAAAAATTAAAGAAATAATATTCAGCAAGGGTGCATTAAATCAATAACAAGTGACAGTAGAGACTTTTACATTGCTACAAAAAAAACTATTTCAAATAAATGCTGTTCTTAATCTTTTGAACTTTCTATTAATCAAAGAATCCTGAAATAATGTATCATGTTATCATGTTTTCCACAAAAAGTTAATGATGATTATTAAAATGATGATAAGAAATGTTTCTTGAGGACAAAATTAGCATATTAAAATGATGTCTGAAGGATCATGTGACACTGAAGACTGGAGTAATGGCT